TAATGCAAGCTGCTATAGTGTGGTGATTCCGAAGTAGTTGCGGGATCAATATGTTGACAGTGAGTAGAGCATCATAAAAACAGGTATTTTAATTGTCACCTCCCCGACAATACTGATCACTAGACTATCAGCCTATAAGTCCATCAATTCGGCATGGCTCACTGAAGTCGAGATAAAACCAACTACAGACCATGGGATTGCCTTTGGTGATCAGAGATCCTTAAAACCTAGGGACCAGTCTATCCCCCTTTGGTTCACAATTCACATAAAATTACATTGGTTCTCCTATATATTCTGACAGGGTCTTTATGATATGATCTGCTTATTCATAGAGAAGCTATTACTGTCCACAGCCTCTAGTCATGCATTCTGCCATCCCATTATCTTAATTGTACCAGAAGTATAATTACATCATAATATTCCTATAATTTAATGATAGCTGATTCCACCACTACTTTTGAGATTATATTTTTATATTGAACTTTTCCTGGACTGTCCCCACTAGGCTAAAACTCTGCCCACTGACTGTAACACAAATATAACATGGTACCTAGTCACAGTAAAGCCATTATACAATTGACCAATCCGTTCAAAGTCATGCCTCATTGCAATATTGCAATGTGTCTTCTAAAAAATTCTAACAAATGAATTCACCTCTTACTTATAAGATTGTTTAGTTGTTACAGTAAAAAACTATAAACTACATGCATGGTCTTCCTTGGTTTATACTGAATAAAGAAGGTAATAGAAATATTGTCATTCCAAAAGGCATTACTGATAATCTACTTAAAGAAAGTGGGAATAATCAGTACCAGTTCTTTCATATCTGGACACTAGATCAATACTGTTGATTTAATGTTTATCCCCCGTAAATTTTAACATGGTTTAGGAACAATAATCTTTTTGTTCAAAGACAAGAACAAGATATCTTTTTCTTCTCTCTCTTCAATATGCTTTACATGTATTATGATCCAAAGCTTTCCAAGACAAAATTTTTCTGATATGTTTCTCTTAAATTCCTGTAGGTATTAAACTATTTTGGGTTGCAGAATATCCTTCTGATAATGTGCTTAAATCAGTCAGCCATGAACATGATGAATATACAGTCAAATCTGCCTTCATAGTAACCTGCTGTGTTCAGCATCTTCCTATAACAGCAGTTAAAATCCTTCCATTAAGCTTCCTTATCTGTGTACCTGCATTTTACAACTTTAAGCAATCAATTGTACATCTCAGTAAGCCATTAACTACTAAACAACATTTATTTTTGCCTGTTAATATTTCCTCTGCATATGTGATATCTTTATGTATCCTTTCTACAACCAAATTCTGGAAGTTTTTTTTTTCTTCCCTATCTCCCTGTTATCAACCTGAAGTAAAAATCTATTATACTTTATAAGCAACACTTCTTTTCAATCTTAAAGTATATGACTGTTTTGTACTCATGTAAGTGACCATCTGCTATCTGTGACCTTGACATGTTTGATAGTACATGTATATTTGCCAATCAAAACATTCTTAGATATTACATAATACTGGGTAAATAAATACTCACACACAAAAAATAAATTTACAAAATTGGGTATGGCATAAAATGTCACTTCAAAATTCTTGTAGTAAAGAAATCTAGTTACTTCATTTTTTAAAATCTAAATAGACTGATGAACTTGTACACCTCAATGTAACCATCAAGAATCTGACAGCTATCATGGTATATTCCATTATAGGTATTGATTATTTCTATGAGACAGCAAGATTATCTTCATCCCAGAGAAAAGGCTTTTATTAGGACTAAATAACATCTCATTAAAGCAATGAATTGCTCACTCACTGGTTCAGTGGGTCACTGTAAGGTCACAAAGTCAGACAGAAACTCTTCAACATTTTTAAGCACAGACAATATTAAAAATTAAAATGGTGGATATACCGGGTATATATGTTTTATTATGATTTTTTTTTCTTTTTAGCCCTGTCATTCAATTAGTCTAGAAAAAGAATTTCAATGAACAATTAATAATAAAATATCCATTGACATCTACAACAGTACTTAGTTATTATATGCATTTAATCATCATTTTAAAATCTTTATTTTCCCAACATTTTCTTGTTCAATAATATAAACAAAAATGAAATAACAACTTACTGCTTTCATTTTTATAAGTTTAGGTTAAATCCTCACAAAAATTAATTATTTGTTAGCAATAAATATCCATGACCATCGTGGTGTCATTTGAGGTCACAGAACTGTCTGGTCAGGTAAGAATACCTCCCTCCCCACAAAAAAACATCTGCTTTATTCAATTTATCACTGAGATCTCATCCGCAACTGATATGTGATTGACAGGGAAGGCACCAGGGGCCTAACAAGGGGCATCACCTGTACTGTAGGTTCATGTTCACAGGGAGGTAAGAGGGTCAATAATCGAGGAACAATGGATATATTTACACAATAGATACTACAGGACAAAGTCTAAACCAAGAGTGTTAAACTGAAAAAACAAAAACAATATATGTGAGTGGGAAAAGGATTTTAAAAATATTATTTAGAAAACACATTTACAAGTTAAAAACTTATATATATATTTATAAATTAATATACACATTGAGATGCTTAAGCATTTTGTTGTTGCTGTTGAAAATCCTTTTTATTTAAATCTACATCTTTTTACTCTAAGTAAGTATGCAAGTAGACATTTAATTAAACAGCCTTCTAAACAATTATTTGTAATCTAAAAATAACTGTTTCAAATCTGTTTGAGCTTCTGTTTGAGTGTGGGTTATAAATTCCCTTTATATCTAACAGACTCAGTATGAGATGTACAGATCATAATCTTTGCTTTGGTAGATGGTTTTTTGCCAAATCCCAAAGAAAATAATAACATGATAAAGAAAACTCATTTTAGCAAGATGCTGCAAGGTCTGATCTCCCTAACCATGATTTCTTCCCCCCCCTTTTTCTAATTAAGTGTTCGTATTAATTGTTCCCTACTTTTTGCATGACATTGTTGATTTCTTTGATATGCAGTTCTGTGCAAAATGACCTCCAGGTCTAACATTACATTGGCTTTACCAAACTGGCAAAGGGAATTTTCTGTCAGTTATGAATGAATATACACATCATAAAATTCATTTGTAAAAAGAAAGTAATATGGATGTCAAAAGTTGCTGTTGGTTATATTAATCCATAATCCCATAGACACTCTATTATTCAGTTATTGTATGAAATGAACCCATAAAGATAACAAATACATGTATATGTTTCAAAAGAAGCCTTACAGTGAAACCACATTATCTCAAACTTGATGGGACTTGGAAAAAACTCCAGTTATCTGAGGCAGCGAAGCTTTGAGAAGAAGAGGGTAAAATATGTCTTAAAAGACTAAGAACTTGTGACTTTGAATTCACTTTGACATATTCATGGTACCATATTTATAATCCCTATTAACCACCCAGGCGCTTAGAAAATTGCAAGAAGGCAGTTATTTTGGTTTTCTCTTTATAATATTTTATATCATATTTTAACTTCAACAAATTTTTTTAAAAAATTCAGAGAACAATTAAAAGTTTTCTATCTTTCCTTTGTGTCAAGATTATCCACACAAATTATACTAAATGATTCATTTTCTGACCAAGAAATTAAAGAATAGACAAGGACAACAAATTTCGTAGGTAACTTTCATTTTCAGTAATACATAATGATTAGGTCTTCCTAAACATCTTTCACTTTCAGGAATACTTTACTTTACCCAATAACCAAGTTTCATTTTCACTTTCTTCAAAGTATGGCGGACTTCAATACCATTCTAGATGATTTCAATCACTGTACAGTACAGGGGGCCCTTATTTTCTGACAATCGAAAAAGACCTAGGGGGCGCTTATAGAGGTGGGGGGCGGTTAATAGGAATTATACAGTATTCAAGATATAAGTGTTAAAGATACCAATGTTAAACTGAATAGTCTGCCCAACAATTTTATATTTCATGACCTTTAGATCTCAATATACTGATAATTAAAAGCAAGTTTTTCATCGCAAGTATGTCATATGTCTTTCCATTACATAGCAATCAACTCAGAGGACAAAAAATTTTCATTTGCTTTAGCATATACTTTTAATAACTGCAAATTTTCCCAGGAGAGGGTTGGACCGGTGCTGACACAACTTTCCTAGTTAGAATATTCTGTGTCTCAGGACAAGCCGTTAAACTGGATCTGTAGGACATTATAATATCATTTTAACAATTAGAACATTCTATTTACACCTTTCCCACCCCCTTTTAGATCAACATATGGATTCCAAATTGATTTAGTAAACTGGATACAACAAAGAAAAAATAATATAAATGTTATGAAGCTTTCCTATTCTATAAGGTTCTTGATTTGCAGTCTTTTATGGATACAGTGGAAAGAGAGATAACTCTATCATTATGCCTGCATAGAAAAACTTCAATTTGATGTTGCCTACCACTCTTATAATAGTTATGCAGATGTTTCAAATCCAAAAGCATAACTAAAGTCTAAACACTTAAAAGATGCTTTTAATAATAAAATATTGTATTTTCTCATTCTAATTAACAGAGCAAGTACGAGTGTCATGTCTTATTCAGTTATTGACATTCACTTAAATAATACTGTATGCAGATGTCGATAGAATAAACATTATTGATGCTTTGGGGTTGAAATATAGAATGTTTTCCCCTTGAAAAACGTGGCCATACCCTTGAAGACTTCTTTCTAATATATGCTTCTGATGCAGATGCAAGGCACTCCGTACTAAGTGACGTCATTTCAATGTTCAAATTTCCCTCCAGACGCAAAAGAGTTACGAAGTATGCCAAATTAAGCTTCATTTACAGAGAAGTAAATACATGTTATTTATACGTCTGCTCAGCATTATGCTTTTTAATTTGGTAAAGTGCTATGATTTCTAAACAAAAAAAGAACTTGAACTATTCTATGTTGACGTTGATGGCTCAATTTAATGCAGATTGTGTTGGCTACTTTCACTTTCGAAATGCTTTCTGCCAAGAAAAATAACGTTTCACAAAATGCTAGACTTGTACATGTCACAGGCGTCTTAAAATGGGAGATACACAACTTTCACATTTTTTAGCTAAAATATTACGCCATGAAGCCATCAACAGGGGACTACAGGTGTCGGAAGGTATGATAAAGCTGCTTTTCAATCAAAAGACATTTTTATTTTCTTCATTTTTTTTAAAATCTCTCACTTATCAGTTAATATGTTGCAAGTGCTTGCCTTAATGATATTTTTCTCATGTTTTCTCTTTTCTTGTTTTTGTAGATGGCTATGTTGACGTAGATGATATCTTAGAACTGTCTGAGGCCAGGGGCAGGACAGAGGAAGATGTTAGAAGAATTGTCAAGAATGACAGCAAAGGAAGATTTAGCCTGAGAGAAAATCCATTTCTACAAATTAAGGCCACACAAGGACATTCATTTAAGGTAAAAAAAGATTTTTCTGATTTTCTGCTTCCTTATATTAATATGAGAGTTGCAGAATAAATTATGCTCAATTTTAGATTATGAAGTTTCATAAAAATATAACACATGAGGACTATGTCACCTCTCAAGTTTTATAAGCCTGGCTCAGTAAATGTTTGGCAAGTTATATCACCAGGGCTTCTTTTTTTATTTCACATAGTCTTCAAAAGCACATTCTACCCAGCTAACATGTGTTTCCTAATAACTCCATAATGAAAGAGTTCTGTTAATTTTGAAAAATATCTTGCTTTCAAGTATTTGAGAATGAGCTGTTAGGCATCTTAACTGTTTTGAAGACATATAAAATTGTGTGTGGTGACAATGGATATATTTGTGTTAATTTGTAGTAGTGTCAATTTATCATTATTTTTTTATTGTATCAGAATAAAGTAAAATATTTAAACACATTTTATAAATGTACCTTATGTCCCACTCAATTAATTCTTAATTGAGATAACAACGACAAAATGGCAGTAATTAATTTGCCTTTTATTAAAAAAATTAATCATTTATGAAAATCTTTCAGATACCTAAGCCTGACCTAACACTTGTCACCCATCACACACAAGTGCGCTGTGCCTTACATGGCACCCGAAGCAGAAACTGGGATTCCATTAAATCACAGGTAAAGTAAATATGTTTATATTGCACTCAGTTTAGAAAGAAAATAAATATCAGTGTATTTTAAAATATTCACTGTTAATTTAAAAAATCTAAATTTTTGGGTAATTTAATATTATTTACATCCACTGAATGTTATTTCCTGTAATTAAGAAAACCATTGTTGTTTATTAGTAATACTGAGTACCACTTGGCATATCATCTCAACAGATTTCGAAAACAGTAGCTCTTTCATCAATGAAGCGTATGATGAAGTACATATCAATAATAAAATGTCTTGCTAGTATGGGAATAAATGTTGCAGCTGGTGCAAAAAAAAAAAACACAACATAATGTGCTTATTTGCATGGTCTTATGTGCATGCTAGCTATTAAAATTATATCTAGTAACATTACTTTCTTTGGTTTTAAACTATAATCTCTTGATTTTTAAATAGTGCTCTTTGACACAGCATTAACTGTAAGAGATGACACATTGACAAGAAAATTTTTTAATCTATTACTTGCCTTTCATTTAATAATCACATAAGAAATGTTTTAAATAAAGACCTAATACCTTGATGGATTCTGCCTTCATGATGTGTTTTCTGAACCACTTATTTTTTTCATATATCCTTGTATTCAGGATATGTAACCAAAGGAGGATGTTGATAAACAGAATGGTGATGTTTTGAGAAGGAAGTGACATTAAGATTTCTATCCATGTTAAGTGAGGGTCGTGTAAATTAAACTGGAATAAATGAGGACACTGTGAGACTAGAGCAGTGGTATGATTGGTTGGTGATGTTGGTGATGACAGAGTGTGAGAGAGATATTTTACAAAATCTTGAAATAGATTTAGGATTGATTTGAGGATGACATTAGTAAAGGTGTTAGAGAGGTCTTGACATGGTCTTGAGATAAATGTCATATGAGATACTTAATCATTTGGTGATTGGTAAAGATGTGATAGAGATATTTACATGATCTCAAGACAGATCTCCTGTGAGATACATGAGAGAGGTCGACATGATCTCGAGATAGACCTCCTGTTATATACTAGTACTTACTATTGGTTTTGTGATGACGGTGGTAAAGGTGTGAGACAGATCTTGACATGATTTCGAGATAGACCTCCTGAACTCACTGATTGGATGTAGGGTCCTTTTAAGGTCCATACTGAGCTATGCTGTATCTTTTTTAATCCCTGTTGTCACTTTGTTTAATATGTTGGATGTGTCAATGTAGGATGTCACACAGCAATTGATATTTAAGATGTCGCAGGCTCACTGTGTTATTTTCTTAGTGCACTCCAACTACACTTAATGTAAACAACAAATTAATCTTCACTTGTAGAAATATTTTTATAAATTTCCGTCACTTCTTTTATATCAATTTTATTGATTTGTGTCTAGTATGGAAAACACAGGCATATTCTTCTTTATCTCTTATCACACAGCATTCTGAATTGCCTTATATGAGATGTTTTGATATTTGAATAAGACAGGAAGTTTTTTGAACTTGTCCTATCTATCCTATACACACCACTTCCCTGTGTATATAAATATTTAGCTTCCTTTATGTAATGATAATATTAGTCATAAAAGTACAATCCTTATAGTGTCAAGAGAAACATATACATCTAATTTTTTTTAATCTTGAACACTGATATCTGAAATACTATGGATGAAACGTTTGTAGATAATGAACAGTTTTTGAGATCAAAAATCCATAAAACAATACAAAATAGGAGCAGAGCAAACACAGATCTCCAAAACATCAGAAGTGGGATCAGGTGCCATGGAGAAGTGAGCATCCCCTGCTGACCGGTGGATATGACAAAGTGATATGGAAGTCCCTGCAACAACTTATTTTTAAGCATGTCACCCTTGATGTATAAATTGCCAGATATCTTGTAGGTTTTTTTTCTCAGTCCCATTGAATTTCAGATAACAGGGTTTGACTGTACTTCAATTTTTGCAAATTTTAAAATATATAATACAGCAAAACTCGTATAGTACGAATACAGACATTGCGAATTCATGGATATAGCAAAGTTGTCTTGGTTCCCCAGCTACATAAATTTAATGGATTTCATATACGGTAATAACAAATTATGGATATATCGAAGTAATTTCATAGGTCCCAGTGACTTCATTATAACCGAGTTTTGCTGTGTATATATATATATATATATATATATATATATATATATATATATATATATATATATATATATATATATATATATATATATATATATATATATATATATATATATATATATGAACTATGTATATCCATTTTGATAATGTAGAATTAATAGAGGGCAAACAATTTTTGGCAAATTGAACCCCTTCTATGTCTTATGACACATTGATTAGTACAAGTGATGGTGTGATGACTCTGTTTAAGGCTCAATAAATGTCCCAATTTAGTAACTTTAAATATTTAGGGATGAAAATATAATTATGATTCAATATAATAAAAACAATATATAAACATCAATGATAATAAAATTGTTCTAGATGTACATGAGTGTATGCATGTACACAATAACATGTACAAGTATTTATGCATAATTTAGTCTGTTTATAAACATAATTATTGGAGATTTTAAAAAAAAATGACGTAACATGTGTTGGTGTCCTATTGAGATGCACTAGCTGTGGGATAGTATCAAGATAAGAATATATTGTGATTAAATATAGGATATAATCAACTTAAATTTACAGGAAATGGTTATATGTAGAAGTAGAATATAAAGGTATAATCCAAGTTAAGGTTAACTGTTGAAATGAGTCATTGGTTTTTTGCTGTAAAATTTCCTTCTATAAATCTTTGGTGCTTTAAGTCACATAAACAAAAGCCAAGAAATGCTGAATCAATTGTTTTTGATATTCATAAGGGCACATACATGTATAAAGGCTGGTGCACATTCAATTAAAGATTTGTTTTATACTACCAATTGTGCACAACTCTCAATCCTTTTTAGCTCACCTGAGCCGAAGGCTCAAGTGAGCTTTTCTGATCAAAATTTGTCCGTTGTCTGTCGTCGTCATTGTTGTCATTAACTTTTCACATTTTCGACTTCTTCTCAAGAACCACTTGGCCAATTTCAACCAAACTTGGCACAAAGTAGTCTTAGGTGAAGGGGATTCAAGTTTGTTCAAATGAAGGGCCACACCCTTATTCAAGGGGAGATAATTCAGAAATAGTGAAAATTTGATGGTATGTTTTAAAAATCTTTTTCTGAAGAACCACTGTGCCAGGAAAGATGAAACTTATAGGGAAGCATCCCCAGGTAGTTTTGATTCAAGTTTATTCAAATCATAACCCCCTTGGGTTAGGGCGGGGCCACAATGGCCGATCAAAGTTTTACATAGAAATATATAGGAAAATTCTTTTAAAATCTTCTTCTCAAGAACCACTGTGCCAGGAAAGATGAAACTCTTAGTGAAGCATCCTCAGGTAGTTTAGATTCAAATTTGTTCAAATCTTGACCCCTGGGAGTAGGGCCGGGCCACAATGGCCGATCAAAGTTTTACATAGAAATTTATAGGAAAATTCTTTAAAAATCTTCTTCTCAAGAACCACTGTGCCAGGAAAGATGAAACTTATAGGGAAGCACATGTAGTTTAGATTCAAGTTTGTTCAAATCATGACCCCCAGGGGTAGGGCAGGGCCACTGTTTTAACAAAGAAATATATAGGAAAATTCTTTAAAAATCTTCTTCTCAAGAACCACTATGCCAGGAAAGATGAAACTCATAGGGAAGCATCCTCAGATAGTGTAGATTCAGGTTTGTTCAAATCATGACCCCTGGGGGTAGGGCGGGGCCACAATGGCCGATCAAAGTTTTACATAGAAATTTATAGGAAAATTCTTTAAAAATCTTCTTCTCAAGAACCACTGTGCCAGGAAAGATGAAACTTATAGGGAAGCATCCTCATGTAGTTTAGATTCAAGTTTGTTCAAATCATGACCCCCAGGGGTAGGGCAGGGCCACTGAGTGGCCGATCAAAGTTTAACAAAGAAATATATAGGAAAATTCTTTAAAAATCTTCTTCTCAAGAACCACTATGCCAGGAAAGATGAAACTTATAGGGAAGCATCTTCAGATAGTGTAGATTCAGGTTTGTTCAAATCATGACCCGTGGGGGTAGGGCGGGGCCACAATGGCCGATCAAATTTTTACATAGAAATATATAGGAAAATTCTTTAAAAATCTTCTTCTCTGGAATAGCAAAGGCATGAATGATATTTTTTTGGATGCATCTTCAGGTAGTGGAGATTCAATTTTGTTCAAATCATGACCCCTGGGGGTAGGGCGGGGCCACAATGGCCGATCAAATTTTTACATAGAAATATATAGGAAAATTCTTTAAAAATCTTCTTCTCTGGAATAGCAAAGGCATGAATGATCATATTTTTATGGATGCATCTTCAGGTAGTGGAGATTCAATTTTGTTCAAATCATGACCCCTGGGGGTAGGGCGGGGCCACAATGGCCGATCAAAGTTTTACATAGAAATATATAGGAAAATTCTTCTAAAATCTTCTTCTCTGGAATAGCAAAGGCATGAATGATCATATTTTTATGGAAGCATCCTCAGGTACTGAACATTCAAGTTTGTTTAAATCATGACCCCTGGGGGTAGGACGGGGCCACAACATGGAATTCAAATTTTACATAGAAACATGTAGAAAAAATCTTTAAAGATCTTCTTTTCACAATGTAAGCTCAAATGTAAAGGGCAATAAAGCCACAGGTAGTCAAAGAAATATGCAAGCATCCTTAGTTAGTGTAGATTCAAGTTTGTTCAAATCATACCCTCTCCCTTTTAAGGATTGTTTGGAACCACTATTGGGTTTCAACTTTTCAATAATAATCTGATTTATGCTTTTTTTCCTAGCCACATTGCTCAGGTGAGCGATGTGGCCCATGGGCTTCTTGTTTAGTTAAATTATGGCTTAATTTTTAGCTCACTTAAGCCGGAGGCTCAAGTGCGCTTTTCTGATCAAAATTTGTCCCTTGTCTGTCATAGTTGTCGTTGTTGTCCTAAACTTTTCACATTCATCTTCTTCTCCTGAACCACTGGGCCAGTTTCAACAAATCTTGGAATAGAGTAACCTTGAGTAAAGGGGATGACAATTTGTCCAAATGAATGGCCACTCTCTTTCAAGGTGAGATAACTAAGATATAGTTAAAATTGTGTGGGTGCATTTGAAAATCAAGATCAAGAATTGGTTAAAAGAATAAATGGTTGGGACTTCCAAATTACTTCAACATATCCATGGTATTCGAGATATGTGTTCAAGATACTGAAGTTCAACTTGCACTAATTCATAGCAAGATAATATTCTGGGGTTAAATCACTCCATTTTTTATTGTGAGAACCAAGTGCAGTTGTATTTTTTCAAGAAAACTGTAAACCCTAACCTTTGAACTATACAAGATAACCAAGCATTTGAAAAAAAACAATTTTTGCAAGGCCACATTTTTTATGAAAAATTCATTCTTGTCTTCATTTGTAGGGAATATCCAAAATGGGAAGAACACATATTCATTTTGCACAGGGAGATCGGGGAGTCAAAAGTGGTGAGTATAGAGGGAATCACATACCTCACCAGCTTATCATTATGTTTATTATACCCCCCGCAAACGAAGTTTGGGGGAGTATATAGGAATCACCTTCTCCGTCTGTCCGTCTGTCTGTCCCTCTGTCTGTCCGTCCATCTGTCTGTCCGTCCATCCATCTGTCCGTCTGTCTGTGCAAACATGTCCGGTCCATATCTTTTTTACGGAGGAACATTAGAATCTACTACTCCACACAAAGATTGCCTATGACTCAAGGGTGTGTCATGACCTTGACCCAAGGTCATTTGGGGAAGTTCAAGGTCACTGGAAGAAAAATTTCATAATTCGTGTCCAGTCCATATCTTTCTTATGGATAATCTTGGTAGGTTCTCATTTCACACAAAGATTGCCCATGGCCTAAGGGTGTGTCATGACCTTGACCCAAGGTCATTTGAGGAAGTTCAAGGTCACTGGAAGAAAAAATTCATAATTCGTGTTTAGTACATATCTTTCTTATGGATAAACTTGGTAGGTTCTAATTTCACACAAAGATTGCTCATGACCTAAGGGTGTGTCATGACCTTGGGTCAAGGTCATTTGGGGAAGTTCAAGGTCACTGGAAGAAAAAATTCATAATTCGTGACCAATCCATGTCTTTCTTATGGATAAACTTGGTAGGTTCTAATTTCATACAAAGATTTCTCCTGACCTAAGGGTGTGTCATAACCTTAACCCAAGGTCATTTGGGGAAGTTCAAGGTCACTGGTAGAAAACTTTCATAATTTGTGTCCGGTCCATATCTTTCTTATGGATAAACTTGGTAGGTTCTAATTTCACACAAAGATTCCTCCTGACCTAAAGGTGTGTTATGACCTTGAACCAAGATCATTTGGGGAAGTTCAAGGTCACTGGAAGAAAAATTTCATAATTCGTGTCTGGTCCATATCTTCCTTATGGATAAACTTGGTAGGTTCTCATTTCACACAAAGATTTCTCCTGACATGAGGATGTGTCATGACCTTGGGCCAAGGTCATTTGGGGAAGTTCAAGGTCACTGGAAGAAAAATTTCATAATTCGTGTCTGGTACATATCTTTCTTATGGATAAACTTGGTAAGTTCTCATTTCACACAAAGATTGCTCCTTAAGGATGTGTCTTTAAAGTCATTTGGGGAAGTTCAAGGTCACTGGAAAAAATTTCTAATTCGTGCCCGGTCCAAATCTATTATGGAAAAACTTGAATCTACTCCTTCACACAAACATTGCTTATGACCTGAGGTTGTGTCATGACTTTGAACCAAGGTCATTTATGCAAGTTCAAGGTCACTGACAGAAAAAGTTCATAATTCATGTCTGGTCCATATATTTAGTCTATTTTTTTAATTAGGTTGCGTCTTTGTTTCATTTATAAAAAATATAATGAGCAATTACATTTGCACTAAAAATGTTTAAGCATTTCTCTCTTCTCTTAGATCCATAAAATATTCATGATTTAGCACTTCTGAAAAACCCAGCGGGGGGCATTTTGTCCCATTTGGACAGTTCTAGTTTGATTTTAGGCATGTGCTTTTTATATTTGCAGGCTTTCCACCATACTGTGACATGGCCATTGAAATTGATGTAGAAAAGGCTATGAGGGGTAAAGACTAAATCATTAAAAAATTTAAAGATGAAAAATTTGCATTTGCTCAGTGACAAATAATTTTGAATATATTTTGGATTTTTTTTTTCAGATAAAATCAAGTTTTACATTTCTGAAAATGATGTGGTGCTAACGGAGGGGGAAAATGGTTTTATTTCAAGAAAATATTTCAAGAAAGCTTACAAACTTGGTTCAAGTAGGTCTTTTATGTATATAGAGTTTGCTTTTTAAAAAGAAGTATCAACCTGTTTTAATTAATTGATGAAAAATGCAGAGATTCCACTTTATCACTATGCCTCATAATACTTTTTTTAACAAATTAAAATGCTTTTTAAGGACATACACAATCTACCTTACCTACTGATAATATTTCAATATATTCCTATATAAAGATTATAGTGTCGTCAGATGTTCATAGACAAAAAAATCAGCATTACATTACCAGGTTTTTTTGAAAGATATCAGTTGATGAATATTCTTGGATGATCCATAGAAAAATACTGTAGACGTACTTTTTTCCACGGGGTCATTATTCAGCGGAATCTCTGTTGAATTTGTGTGTAGAAATTAAATTATGCGGATTTCCTAGAATGTCACTATATGCCTTACATTTATATTAAGTATGCTTGGACAAATTTCCGTGGAAAATTTGTGACCGCGTACATAGCGTAAATTAATACTACACGGAAAAATGTACTTCTACAGTATATAGAAAATATATTTAAGATCTCACTTTTATAAAAAATTTGTTTTAGAAGAAGTGTACAACACCGCTTACATAGACTTTAAAATATAGCACACAGTTCCTTCAAGAATTGGAACTCTTCAACTGCAAAAAAGTTCAAACTATGCTGCGTATGTCCTTAAATGAAAGTGTTTAAATTAGACATTTACTATTTGTTCTAACATCAATCTTTTTCAGGAGAAGCATTATCATTTTGAAATTTAATGAAAATTGAACTGTACCACTGCTTGGCATCATGCAATTAATACATGACTATGTGTGATGAGACGTGATTGACTTACCTATTCTGTGATACAAGAGAATTTAATTTATACCTACGTGCCATATTTTTATTTCATTTTTAAAATCCTATTTGTATTGCGACTAAAACTGTAAATATATTTGGTTTTTGTCAGAAATTACAGGGTTTTTTGCTTTGGAAAATTCTGAATTGAATAAACTTATAAAGTTACACAGCTAATACTTTTGCATTTGATTTTCTTTTCAATCAATATGTTGTGACTCTAGTGGCTGATATTGTCACTGGAAACATAAGAGTATTATCCATTGAGGTGATTTTAGCAAGAGTTATTCTCCATGGCCGCATATTGTAGGGCAACCTTACCAGATCCCTTCATTACATTCTCTATCCAGAGTTATCCTCCGCTACACTCACAACACCTCTGTCAACGCTCGTTGTACAAGATTCTTGTACAAATTTTAAACAGCGAAGATTCGAAATTTAAATTATAACTAATAATTGTAAATATTGATAAAGATGATAATTCATTATTTATTTTAAATCTATAATCACTCAGAACGACTTATTTTCAAAGATTTTAGGGAACTATTTTGCGGAGTAAAAATTAAAATCTTAATTAAAAAATCCTTTTAAGGTGTAACAAATTAAAATAAATAATGTTTTCCGATAAGAAATATAATTACACACAGTTATAAATACAACTTTTAATCAAAAACAATTGAAGAAAAAAATGAAAAAGTGTGTCATGGTCATTGGAAAGGCTAATATGTTACCTTGTACAAACTGTTTGATAAAAATATCCTGAACAAAAAAATTACAATCATGTAAAGGGTCAAGTTCAGATAATTTGACACTTCAAAAATTGCTCCTTTTTGTCTGTTAAGGAAGCTCGAAACACTGCACACTAAAAAGCTCCGTTTATAGGGTAGTTTTATGCATTTAGAGGGATCTACCATTAGATACAAGATTTGGAAAATTATTTACAGTTAATTACCTGATTTGTAATAAATTAAATTATTTTAAACATTAAATAAGAGCAAAAATAAGTTATTGAATTCATTATTTTCAATAATTTTCCCAATGTAAGTAAACAGCAGTGATTTCTGCTCACAAATAGTCCACAAATATTTCTGGCTGAAATAAGGCTGGTACCCATGTTATAAATGAATGAAATAGTCTCAACATGCACACCTTTATATGATATATTATTCTCCCAAGTCCAACAAGAGGCCCAGGGGCCACAGCGCTCACCTGAGCACATCGGGCTTGAATTTCCTCCCCCCCCCTTCCAGGCGATCATCATTTGAACAAACTAGAATCTACACTACCTGAGGATGATTCCATATAAATACCCCGGGTATCACTAATCATAGCTTTGAAGTACTTGAAAAGAAGATTTTAAAAGGTTTCCCTATATATCCCTATGTAAAACTTGGGTCCCATTTTGGCCCCACCCTATCCCCAGGGCCAGGGGTCATGATTTTGAATCTACACTACCTGAGGATGATTCCACATGAGTTTCATCTTTCCTGGCCCAGTGGTAATTGAGAAGGATTTTTAAAGATATTTCCTATGTAAAACTTGGGTCGGCCATTTTGGCCCCACCCTTGCCCCAGGGGTCATGATTTGAACAAACTTGAATCTACACTACCTGAGGATGATTCCACATGAGTTTCATCTGGCCCAGTGGTTCTGGAGGAGAAGATTTTTAAAGATTTTTCTTATATATTCCTATGAAAAACTTGGGTCGGCCATTTTGGCCCCACCCTTGCCCCAGGGGTCATGATTTGAACAAATTTGAATCTACACTACCTGAGGATGCTTCCACATGAGTTTCATCTTTCCTAGCCCAGTGGTTCTGGAGAAGAAGATTTTTAAAGATTTTTCCTATATATTCCTATGTAAAACTTGGGTCGGCCATTTTGGCCCCACACTATCCCCAGGGCCGGGGGTGATGATTTGAAAAAACTTGAATCTACATTACCTGAGGATGATTCCACACGAGTTTCATCTTTCCTGGCCCAGTGGTAATTGAGAAGGATTTTTAAAGATATTTCCTATATATTCCTATGTAAAACTTGGGTCGGCCATTTTGGCCCCATCCTTGCCCCGGGGGTCATGATTTGAACAAACTTGAATCTACACTACCTGAGGATGATTCCACATGAGTTTCATCTTTCCTGGCCCAGTGGTTCTGGAGGAGATTTTTTAAAGATTTTTCTTATATATTCCTATGAAAAACTTGGGTCGGCCATTTTGGCCCCACCCTTGCCCCAGGGGTCATGATTTGAACAAACTTGAATCTACACTACCTGAGGATGATTCCACATGAGTTTCATCTTTCCTGTCCTAGTGGTTCTTGAGAAGAAGATTTTTAAAGATTTTTCTTATATATTCCTATGTAAAACTAGGGTCGGCCATTTTGGCCCCATTTCCCCGGGGGTCATGATTTGAACAAATTTGAA